ACTCCTCGGATAAACCTCGGCTGATCCCGCCCACGTCTCAGCTCGTCTCTGCTGCACACCAGTGCCGGTCGCGCCGCTCTCTCCCGCAGTCACGCGGCGGACGAGGCGGGCGATATCGTCGCGCGGCTGGGAGCGCTCGTCGAGGAAGGTGAATGCGAGCGCCAGGTGCCGGCACGCCTCCGGGTCCGAGCCGTGCTGCCGCTCCAGCGAGCGGAGCAGAGCCTTTGGCCCGCTCGCGCCCGGGTAGCGGCGCAGACCGTACTCGACCGACGCAGAGAAGGCACCAAAGGCGGCGTTGCGCCGCGAAGTCTGCTTGTCCGGCGGGAGGCTCGCGGGAATCGCCGCCATCCGCGTCTCCCACCACGCCGCGCAGTCGGCGTCAAAGTTGAGCAGGAAGCGAGATAGGTACGTCGTGAACTCGAGCGTGTAGAACGCCTCCATGGCCGTCGCCGCGCCGGGTGGGATAGTGTCCTTATCGACCCACCGCAGCACGGTGGCCGACTCCGCACCCACGTACCACTCAGCCGTCGCATCCGCCGCGCCAGCAGCGCCAGCCGCTCGAGCGCCACAACCGCTTGCAAGTGCAGCGCCAGCGGCAGTGACGGCGGCGGAGCGAGCAAATCCGAGCACGACGCGCCGGCCAGTCGGTGCAGTCGATACGGCAGCGTGGGTCGGCACGGGGCGGTGCAGGCGCGGCCGGGGTGGCGCAGCCCAGCAGCTCGCGATGAAGACCAGCGCACTCATCGGGCAAGGAAAAGAAGAAAACCGCAGTAGCGAAATCGATGCTCCCTCCCACCTGCCCCCTGATTTGGGCGTGTAACGGACGTCCCAGTGGTGGCCGACGCCTTACCCCCTACCCCCCTGCCCCAAACCCGGGGCTGGACCCCAACCCTTTCCATCGTGTTTTCATCTTCTTACTCATCGCAAACCCCGTCAGCAGTCCTCCTCCGGGAATGTACGTAAGAAAACACACTGAGAAAATACACTGAAAAATAATGAAGGCGGCCCGGGGCGGGGTGGATGGGTTGGGAGCGAGGGGGCGGAAGTGATCAGTGCGGTAGATGGCGAGCTCGAGGCGCGTGAGCCGGACTTGTGAGCCGGACCACCCCCTCTTGTTCTCTGCGTTGTTGAGCCAGGACTCAACATACTCGGGCTTGCGAGTCCCAAACTGTCACTCCCCTTTCTCCCGGCCGGGGTGGGGCGCGCGCGGGGGCGGCGGGTGTGCGGCGGGTGTGAGGGATGTCTGTGAGCCCGAGAGCGATATGCCATGTCCGCCTTGCGTTGTTTCATAACATCGAAGGCTAAGCTCAAAAATAATGAAGTGGCCTCTCCCGCGTAGAAGCTCCTGCGGTTCCCGTACCACAGCGCGCCCCAAGGCTGCGCACAACGAACCCTCTTGCCCCGCCATGGTGGCCAGCCTTCTCGTCGAGCGAACGCTGAAGGCCGCCGAGGGCTACCTCCCTTCGTCGGTGGTGGCGGCTCTACACTTGCTCACCCAAACGGGCAGCACATCAGAGATCATTGACGAATGCCGCGACCTCCTGAACAAAGGCAAGGAGACGATCTTCACGGCGACGGCCCGGGCGGCGCCCTACCTCTCCAGTATTGCTGAGAAGAAGGAGTCGCTGCTCTCGGACAAGCGGCTGAACCGGGCACTCGACGCCCTCCAGCAGGCGCGTGAGCACCCTGTCGACGCCGTGGTGGCACTCAAGTCGCAAGCGCTCGACGTGCTCCGCTACGACCGCGCAGCTTGCCGCGACTACGTTCAGGCAGGGATTGCGGCTGACACTCGAAGCGTGACCGACGCCCACCGAGTCATGGAGGCGCCTGCCATTGCACTGGTGGCGGCAAAAGGCCTCGCCGTGCGGGCCGCCCTTCGCGCAAACGACTCGCTCGGTGAGCGCGCGGCTCGGCTGAGTGGCCGGGCCTGCGGCTTCCTCTCACTCCTCGCCCTGCGGGCATCGCGGCTCGACTCGGACTACCTCGGTCGCGACTACATCCCAGCCAGCGCCAAGGCGCGCATGGAGCGCCTCGCTGTTCTCCTAGCGCCACCCGCGGCGGTCGAGAGGAGGACCCCGAGCCCATACGCGTACTCATTTCACGAGGCGCGTGCAAGTGCCAGCTCTGCGACCCACAACGTCTCTTGAGGATGAGAGGACACTCCGCTACACCGCCGCCGCCCGCGGGCTCTCCGCCACGCGCTGGCGACGTCCGTCGGGTCCGTGGGTGATGGGGGTGCGTGGGAGCGCTCTCTACCCCAGCCGTCACACACACCTTGAGTAACGCGGGCGCAACAGTAAAGTACGCACTCTGCACAGCTGTGACTTACGGATGCCGGCGCCGCGGCCCGCGCGGGCCGCCACATGCCCCATGAGCCATATATGGCCCAATGCCACCCCCCCAGACATGGACATGGATCGAGGACATGGACATGGACATGGACATGGACATGGCACATGCACATGCAACATGTGCATGTGCATGTGCATGTGCATGTTGCATGTGCATGTGTGCATGCACGTGGTTTGGTGTGGTGTCCATCCATCCATGCATGATGGCTTTTGGTTCCGACCTAGCTCCTAGGTTCCGACCGACCTCCATCCACAAGGCCCGCAATTTTCGCATCTACGTGCGCGCAGGCGTTCGCACAAGTGTACAAATAGAGAATCGGTCACACCGCCACCACCGCCGACAGATGCCGACGTCTCCCAGGGAGATGATGGAGAGAGGGGACGACACTGCTTCAGCAGCGTGCACCGCGATCCTACTGTGTTTTTTGTTATGCCCCCCCCCCCCCCCCCGAACACCCCACCCAGTGAGGGAGGGCGAGATGATGATCGAGGGGTCCCGTACACCATGCCTCCATGCGGAATCGACCCTATCCAGTGCTCAAGTGCTCAATCAAGATACCACTCTCGCCTCTCATTTGTGTCACACCACGCGGAACGCATCTCCATCGCTTCGGTGAAGGGGGTGAACCGCGCCATCCTCGATCGATCGCCGTGGTGCTTGCTGTCGCTACGTATCTTTGGAACATCGACGGCAGCGCAGCTAGATCCAAGGCCTGGTTCAT